TCAGACTTGACATAGGCGCTCCTTTAAGTTTAAATTCAATTTACTGATATAGTTTCATTTCTAAATTCAATTTTATTCTAGGGTTAACTTCATTTTAACTAATTATTGATATAGTTTTATTTCTAAATTCAAGTCTGAAGAGTCATTCTTCAGAGTTATTTCAAGAGTACAAGTCTGAAGTCATTCTTCAGAGTTTTACTTCAGAATTATTTCAATAGTACAAGTCTGAAGAGTCATTCTAAATTTATTTCTAAGTTTAAATTCAATTTAATGATATGGTTTCATTTCAAAATTTAATTTTATTCTATGGTTAACTTCAGTTTAACTAATTATTGATATAATTTCATTTCTAAATTTAAGTTTGAAGAGTCATTTATTCAGAGTTATTTCAAGAGTACGAGTCTGAAGTAGCATCGTACTTTCGATGATCATTCATATCTATAAGATAATTTTCCTGACATGATTTAACTTTTTAAATTACCATGTATAATATACGGGATCGAACCTAGTATATAATAGACTAGTATATTATATGTATGTATGAATAAAAATTTATGGAAGTTATATATATTAACAGCGGGTTGGGTTGGGTTGGTTTGAGTTAGACTAACCCAATTTCAACCCTTTTAATTGACAATTTGGCGGGTTGACGGTTTCTGGTTTAGCAGGTTGAGTTTAATTGGGTTAGGTTAGGCGGGTTGATCGGTCCGATGTTTCTGTACACCCCTAATGCTAGATAATAATAAGTAGGTAAGAGGATTAAAACCATCTTCAACAGATAATTTATGATACTTTTAAAATAGAGAATCAAAAGTTAAAAAATTTTAAGGAATTATATTCAATTATAACAGATGTTTTATTTTATACACTTCAAACTTAATTATATTATCTAAATATTCTATTTAATTTTTTTGTATAGAAAATAAAAGTACGCATTTGCAGGCTCATGTTTTTCAATGGGTCTCGAAAAGATTAAAGAAATGGTTTATTCAATAGTGGTTGTTGCTTGATAAGCCAAACTTTATGGCTCTTTCGCCATACATGGAGGGACCCAATGTAGAGCATACGGTGGCCCGTCCACTATATTGTTTATTCGTCGTAGTATCAAAAATTATAAGGTCATGTAAAGTGTTACCGTATATATTTTGAAACTAAAACGAAATCACAAAAGTTTTCTTGGTAGAGTTGGTTTACAAGATTTTCCTTCCACCCTAGATTCGAGTTCGAATTATGTTAGTGTTATTTTCTTAGTTTTTAACTTTTAATTTCAGATATATTATGTTTCTAGAAAAAAAAAAATTGCAACAAAAGACTTGAACACATAACCTCACATATGAAAAAATAATAAACTAATCAACCCATAACCCCGGTAATAAACATTTTTGAGTGTTTGGATAAACAACTTATACCGGTACCAAACCGGTAATAAGAAGTTTTTGAATAAGTTAAATTTTTCTGACTTATAATAAGTTGATAAATATTTATTAAAAAAAAACACAAGTTGTTTTAAATACGCCATCCTAAACACCCCTAAAAGATATTCCTTTTTCTTCAATATTGAATTTTAGAGATTTATAATTTATATCTGTTTATTTTAAATTAAGTATTATCATAAAATAATATCTAAAAATCTTTATTTTAAAATAGTTGTGACGTGAAGATTTAACTATGTTGCATTGTTGCTTATCTTTTAGTAAAAATAAAAGGTAGCATTATGTGAAAAATGTCAAATTACGAGGGCCCTATTGACAATTCATGATTCTTTGGATGGACACAGTGGGTTTGGTTGTCCCCAAAAGAGAAGAAGTGCATGCTATGTCAGGACAAAATCTCATTATTTGAAAAACTATCAAAGGGGCCCTTCACAAATTTAGATAATGACAAAAGCACCCCCTTTACCATATTTTCAGTTTTCTTTTTCCCATTATTTGAGCCTCCTTTTTCAAATGTGGTCCCTTTGTTCTATCTGTAACTGTATGCAATGTGTCATAAAGTCATGGTGATTGGCATAATTAAATGAAAAAACTTGGAGATTGTTTGGGAATTTGTGAGAATAATCAATCATCTACTGTTTTATATTGTGAAATAGTGTATGTAGGGGCGGATGGTCATTAGGCCTTTAGGGCCTGGCACCTATGCTTTTTTAAGATAGAGTGAAGCATTTTCAGTCCATTAAGGTTTTAAGTATAAAATTATTTTGGGTTCTTCCACCATTGTTGATTCAGTTTATTTGTGTTCCGCCCCTGAATGTATGTGAAAGTATAACGTTGTCAAACAATGTTACTTTTTTTCACATGCATTTTTTCACGATATGAAACAAGGCATGATTACTGGTTCTCACGGTTTTCAATTTTTCGTACTTCTCATTTTATTGCTCTCTCTCTAAGTGTGTCAACGTGTGCACGTGTGTGAACCGAATACATCATACTCAAAAATAGGGTAAATGATGATATAATATAAACAAACATGTCTTCTACTTTTTAAAATTGGGACTGATTATGTCAAAATCTCGGCTTTTTGACAAGGTTTTGGTTATACTGTGATGTGATTTAAAGCCAACGTTTGATTTAGACAAAGGGATTATGAAGAACGAGCCAATCAAATATTTTAATTGATCAAATACGATTTCTTGAATTTTATACATCATGTTTATAAAAAAATGCGATAAATTCAATGATCAATAATAGCAGAAGAGAGGGCGAAACATTGTTTTTTGAAATTATAAAGTGAAAATACATAAATTATGATCAATAGTCATGTCGGTAACAACTACAAGTAGAGGTGGCCAAAAATGGGTCCTGGGCGGGCCATAACCGGTTAGGGCCGGTCCCGATCAAGATAAAAACGTTCCATAACCGATCCCTCCATAACCGGTCCCGGTTCCGGTGAAATCCTCCATAACCGGTCAAGCTTACCGGTAACCGGTTAAGCCGTCCGGTCCCGGTTCCGGTCCCATAACCGGTTACGGCCGGTCCTTTGCAAAAAAAATATTTTTTTTTTCAAATTTTTGGTAATTAATAAATTTATAT